TAACCTGTTAAATTTGTACCTTGACTCACAGCAAAAGACCTCACGATGACCAAACAGAGACAACCAATTTTGCCAGAATTGCTAGAGAAATCCACAATCTAGTTGTCCCCAAAATTGAACCAGCTGACAAAGTTCCGTTAGCTGCACTTAGAACAAAATCTCAAAGCAAAAAACCCAAAGATAGCTAACTTACAATTTATTTTTCACGCACACACCTATATAACAAACATTATAGTAGCGTTTCTTTCTTAAACTATGATTTATATTTTTTGCTATAGTGCGGAAGATGTCCACTCTAAAAAAAAGTGAGTGAGCAATGCAATCTCCGTAATCGACTGCTGCAAGCCGTTCTACATGTTTTTCAGCTATCAACATTTTTGCTTCAACACCTGCATGTTCTTTGCTTTGCACGTTTGTGCTTGGAAACTTAGATGCTATAGAATGAGAACAAAACAGTCTTTATCTTTTTTGTCAACTACTCAAACATGTACCTAACCTAGAATATATGTATTTTACCACCTTGGCTACAAGGGCAACATGTCTGTGAACTATATGTTACTTCTGTTTCTTCTATATATTAGGGAACCAAAAGTTCCGTTTCTTCCTGTTAAATATACAATGCAGTTCAAGGTGATGCATTCAAAACCTCTCACGTACATGAAATTTTTCATTGTAACAGGAACACGAATGGTACACCACGTATTTTTATGTTAAGTGGTGGGAAATTTTATTTTTTAAGTTATTAATTTGTTAACACACATATTCCACCATTTATATGGTAACACGTGGTGTACCATCCTGTGTACCGGTCACATTGAAAAATCTTTCCTCACGTACGATGGTACGAGTGCAAGAAAATATCATTAAATCGTAAATCTATGTATTAGCATGTTGGACAAGCTCTTCATGAAACTAAACTTGTCATGTGTATCACATTTGATATTCTTGTCGTAAGTAGGACAATGGCCTTTAGATCATTCTTTTCATTCTTGTCCGAGACTCCCAACTATAAGCAAGTCAGGAATAATATTTTAGGTCAGTAAGGCAATCATGACCGGTAGTACTACTTTCTTACTTTAACTAGAATGTGTTCCAAACATATGTAAATGCTAAGATGTAGTTTCCTAGATAAGGGTGATATACTATGCTTGAAAGGCTATTTATTTAAATTATATTTTGTACATCACATGATGTGCCGGTTTATGGTTGAATTTTTTTTTAATAATTTAAATGAAAAATCTAACCATTAACCGTCACATAATGTAATTACAAAATATGGTCTGAAAAAAAAATGTACTCGTAGCATTTTCCCATAAATAAAGTATGCTACAGGCAACAACATGACCTTTAATTTTCCTTGATAGAGACGACAGCTTCTACCACATAAATCGTGTACCACATATATACCAACCTTTCCATGCAGATAAAGTCATGCTTCCATGCAGATAAAGTCATGCATCTATTACTGTCCTTTAACAAATTAACATCTCTTCTTCATCATCAAGCTTCTATTTTCTTGGAGCTAAAGTGATGCACTGCTGTGTGCCATATTATACGTATTATATAATGCATGCAAACTAGAAATATTGTATAGCATGACACAGCTCGCTAGGGCCAAAACACTTAAAACCACATTGAATTCCCTTGTTAATTAGTTTCGACAAGCACTTTAATAATGTCCCAAAAAGATGAAAATGTAGTTTCCATGAAGAAGGAGCTGTCCATGACGAAAGTTGCGAAAAGAGGAGGTGGACAAGCAAGCGGAGGAGACCAAGGCCAACCTGCAGAAATCACCACCACGGAGCAAACTTCAGAGGAGGCGATTACAATCCATGAGGAGGTAATAAGAACCAGTAGGGGGGAGAAACTAAAGAAAATGAGGGATGCATTGGCAGAAGCAGCTCAAAAGCAAAATGCCGAACCAAAGATCCAAAGGGTTCCCTTCATGCTCCGTGATCACAAAAATTTAGACAAGTACTACGAGCCAAGGGTGGTAGCACTCGGTCCTCGCCACCATGGTAAAGAAAAGTACAAGCAGGCAGAGAAAGTCAAGCTTCAATTGACAGAACACTTTATCAAAGATAGTGAGCAGACTAATAACGATGAAACGTTGCTCAAGAACGTTGAGGACAAGATTAAGGAGCTAAGGGAGTGCTATGATGACGAAGCAACAAAGGACCACGATGATGAGGCCCTCGCGTGGATGCTGTTCGTTGATGGGTGTTCGACGTTGGAATTCATGTACAAATATAAGGAGTTGGAAGCTTTTAAGATCAAGAGAGACCAAGTGGCATTTGTAGAACAGGACATGTTCCTGCTAGAAAACCAACTCCCCTATCAACTCCTCGAGTTGCTGATCAGCTCAAGCAACAAACGTGTGGACTTGGAAGCCTCAATCGAGGAATTTGTCAAGATGCATGGTGGAGCACCAGTAGTTCAAGGCCCTGCCGTGGAAAGAAAGCCAACTCATCTTCTTGACCTTCTTCGGACAAGAATGGTAGGACGTCCACCTAGCCTGAGTACAGAACCAGGATGTACTCATCATATTCTTGACCTTCGGCCAATGGTAGGACCTCGACCTAGCCAGAGTACAAAACCAGGATGTACTCATCGTCTTCTTGACCTTCTTCAGACAATGGTAGGACCTCGACCTAGCGCCTTGCTTCATTCTTTTTCGCAACGTACAAGAGCTTCAGGCAGCCGGTATCCATTTTAGGCCTAGTGAGAAAAACTCATTGATGGACATATATTTTAAGCCTCTGTTTCTATGCTGTGGATTCCTTTATCTTCCCATAATAAAAGTTGACGACTCGATGGGGCCTAAGTTCATGAACATCATAGCCTACGAAATGTGTCCTGATTTCCAGAACGATTTTGTGGTCACCTCTTACATAGGCTTCCTCGATTCGCTCATTGATCATGCAGACGATGTGAAGCACTTGAGGAAAAAGGGCATAGTTCAAAACTTGCTTGGGAGTGATCAGGAGGTGGCTGAACTCTTCAACGAGATAAGCACTGACTTGGTCCCTAACGATGCGATTTACCGAAATGTTACAGCACAGATAGAATATCACTACAAAACCAAGTGGAAGACATGGATGGCTCAATTCTTTCATGACCATTTCAATAGTCCCTGGACTTTCTTGGGTTTCATTGGCGTTCTACTAGGACTTGGCTTGAGCGGTATGCAGACGTGGTATGCAGCCTTTTCCGATCCCTGTCCATGTGATGCCGTATGCAAGTACCTGAAAACACACCCCGGCTGAGAGATTCGAGTACATATCAACTGCCTGCTACCTCTGCAGTTTTTCACAAGTCATAGTTTCTCAACAGTCCTTTCTACTGTACGCAAGTGTGACGACTACAATAAGTGAATTATATTATTTTGTTGTTGTTGGAAATAAGTGATTTAAAATGTACGTGTGCGCGCTTTGTTCTTACTGTATTGACGGAAACTTTTTTCAGATTGTATTTTTGGAACTCTATTTCAATCTCACTTTTGCTATGTAAAACTTAAATTTTCACCACCTAATCCCTTAGAATTCAACTTTCATATTCATTTGAGCCTTGTGCACTGGGTACAACTTTTATGTAAATAATTTTGTTAGTACTCTGACATGACGTTAGTGGGGTCGACTTACCTACTTGTATGTCTGCCACATCATTGCTAAGTCACTTAAAAACTATTAAAAAAGATGCTGACTTGGGCTACAGAGGTTCTTATTCCCCTTCTTTTCTCCACGCCACCACCATAGAACCCATAACACCCCATTGCAATGCATTTTCAGGGAACTTGTTTGATGGATAATCCTTTTCATCATTTTTTGAAATTATGTGATTTTGTTGATTTTCTAGTGACTTCTATTTTGGATATTTTTTATATGTCATTCAATATGAAATTTGAAAATTCAGGGAAGCTAGTTTGATTATCAAATCCTCTCTCTCTCTCTCTCTCTCTCTCTCTCTCTCTCTCTCTCTCTCTCTCTCTCTCTCTCTCTCTCTCTCCATGGGAATAAGGGGAAGCAGGTCCTTCACTTGGTCTGCTTGGCTATTGATTATGGCTTTTCTTGTCATTGGCTTATCCGGTGAAACTTGTAGAGCAAAGGATGATAGTACAAACTGTACCTTCTCCTGCGGCAATATTCACAACATAAGCTACCCTTTTCGACTACAAGATAGTCCAAAGCACTGCAGCCACGTTCCGTATACGCTGTCTTGTGAGAACGACAATTGCTCCTCCATGTCGAGAAACTTTCCGCTTGAGTCTGATACATTGAATTTACCATATGATTTGTATGGTAAATATCCAAGTGATTCACCGCTTTCAACAGTTGTATTTTACATGAAGTGTTCGAATCCAATGAATTCTTCTCTGTATGTGGACACTGCTCCATGCTTCGATGCAAGTGCTTCTTCTTCGAGCCAACCAAAAACGTATAGCTACGTCAAGGTCGGTTTGATGGAAGTAGGGGATTTGGATGAGGGTTGCAGTGCAGAGTGGATGACTTGGGCGCTCTCGAGCTACGTCAAAGACTACAACACCTCTTATGAAAACATACACAAGGCGCTCATGTATGGATTTGAGCTTCGAGTATATGGTGTTGATGAACTGGGTCCAATCTGCCCAGGCCAATGGAGGAGTAATCTTAAATGTTTTCCACACAGCATCCCAGGTGCGTGAATTCTCATAGAATATAAAGGCCATGGCTACTGATCACTATGTTTAACTCGTTTCCCCACGCATAATGTTACGTTGTCAAACTTATGTTTTTCAATAAATTAAAATACTTGCATTGTCAAACTGTGCAATCCATCTAAACCAAACATTCAAATCAAGCGAAATGCTAAAGACATTCTCTTAAAAGTGAGACTTTTTATGAACTCTCCGCCACCTCCTCTTTGTAGCACAATTCTTGTGCTAACATTATACATTACATGAAATAAGGCTCCATTTTAGAAGCAACCCATACTCCTCTAGGATCCAATGAAATAAGGATCCACCATTCACTGCATACATTTAGAATCACATCTAACAGCGCTTTAAAGAAAAAACTAATCACAACAAAAGAAGCATCATACTCCCTCTTGAGATCAAACCACATAGTGCCCTCCTTTGTAACTGTGTTTAAAGACAACTGCATCTGAAATGAAAATGTCGGATCTTATCCAAGGAAAATTCCTTAATTTTAAAGTCGCCAAACAAACTTCAGCATCTGTCAAATAGTAGTGAATCCCTCATTCGTAAACATCTGGCCTGCCGTGTCAAAAATAAGTTCAGGCATAACAATTAATTGATTACTCTTCTTCATAATTATATTCCACCTATGCACTTTTAGTTAATTTGTCTGTTTAAATAACTCCATCACGATAACCAGATTAAGACAAAATCGCAATACACAGCAATATGAGCTGGTAACAATACTCAATAGTGAGTAAACTATAAACTGATTTCTAAATGGGTAACATGAAAGGTACAAGTGTTGTTTTAAACTTCTTTTCAATTAATTACTACATATTTTTTCTACACTCACAAATGTTTGCCAGCCGCTATATTAATCAACTATGAAATCAGTTAGTCAATCACTTGGCGAGAATGGCATTTCCTTTCCAGATGGTTTTTGGTTGATAGAACTAATGAGTCATTCAATTGTATAATGTAGACATACGAGAATCCAAACGCTAAATATAATACTGACAACTCGTACCCTCAACAAAGTCATTTTCATATAAAAGCAAAATGCTCTCTCAGATATTTCTTACAAATCATTTTTCACAGGCTTCAGATTCTCACTCTAATCTCTCCTCTTATCAAAAGCGATATCGAAGTTATATGCTCCCCTTCCCAAATACTCACGATATTTTGTTTCCATCAGCCAAATAATTTCCAGAGAAATGTTGTCGGAATGTCTCGTGCCATACTACACAAAGATTAACCCTTTCCAACGCTACTTATGTAATTCTGCATACATGCCTAATCTTAATGGAACAATTCTCTTTCTCATTCGACGGAAGTTGAGCAATGAGCAACCGAAAAAGAAACCCGGAAGAGACCGCCAGAGTTGAGGGGAAAAGAGGAATTTTAGAGAGAGATGTTCTAAGGAAATTGTGTGCCATATGCCTTGATCTTGCATCACTATGGAGTGATAGGATATACGCATCGTATTGTTGTTCCGTAGTAGGTTGAGTCTGTTCTCCACATGAATTGATCGTAAGTTTGAGTCTAAATGCACATTATAATTTATCTAAATCCAGTTCTATCGACATAATACATTATATAGACAGAGAAGAATAGTAAGAGTCGAACAGATAAGATATAAGTTGCGAATAATATCCTAGACGGTATTCTAGTAAAATCGATGCTACTTTAAAGCGCCGAGTGTGTTGGAACTTACTTCATCATTGAATACTTCTTTACTTTTACCTAATTAATAAAAATATCATTGATTAAGTCCAAAACAAAAATATGTTCATAATATATGGCTTAATAGTAAAATTTTTATTGACCTTTGGCTAAATTACCTTTGCATTAATATATAATTTGATGTGGCATTTGATGTGTACATACAACGTCAATTAATGAATTCATCTCGTTGGATGTTATTGTACTCTAACATTACACGTGAGATAAATTCATTAAATGCCATAACATGTACAAATCACTGACCACATTAAATAGTATAATGATGTGGTACAAAAATCTGGTCCCTGTAGCCTTTTCCCTAGAAACTATGAGCTAGTTTGAAATTTCTTTAAAGCATTTTTTTTTTATCAAAAGAACTTCCAATAAAAGCCCTTCTATTAGATTTATATTGAAATTTCAAATAACAATGGAAGTGCTTCTTGAAAAAATACATGAAGCACTTTCCTAAAAGAAGCACACAAAAAATGCTTCTCCCAAAAAGCACTTAAAGTTTTTTTAACTTAAAAACACTTTTTACTTTTTATCGCAAACATGATCAGAAAAACTTTCGATGATCAGAAAAAGATTTTAGTTATTTTCAAAGCACCACTTCTGTACAATGCCCTACGTACACGTGATTATTTGAAAATTTCCATATCAAGAAAAACAAAACTAAACCAAAACAATAATCACTGGAAATTCCATATAAACCACAATTCTACTTTCCCCTCAATGGAAGGTGACCATCTTGTTTAATCTAACATTTATGGTCTGATTATTGTTCAAGTTGGGGCCCATCCCAACCGTTATTTTGGCCATGAAATCAATATAATTGAATACGTTTTCTCATTATTTTTGGATTGAATATACATTGCAAGTGGCTTTTTACCACAATGGTGAAAAAGAGTTAAGCCCTTAAATGATGAAGTGAGTTCGAACCTTGTCAGTAACTAATATAACATCTAATCTAACAAAATATATCGCATAACAGAAAAAACAAAATATGGATTCATTCATTCACTCAATCCATCAAATCTTCCAGTTGGGCCTGATTCATCTCATTCCTTATTCATCATTTTGGCTACTAGGAGGAGGGGTTTGTGTGTGTGTGTGTGTGTGTGAGAGAGAGAGAGAGAGAGAGAGAGAGAGAGCGGAGGACTTAGGGAGGGCTGGTTTGATATTGTTGTGCTTTGAAAAAAAAAAACTGTTTCTGCTGTGCTGTGAGAATAAGCGGCTGTGAAATAAAGTTGTAGAGTGTTTGGTAAACTTTTTTGTAAAAATGCTTTTGAAAAAAAAAAACAATATTATAATGTTTGGTACTTTTATGTAAAACAGATGTGAAAAAAAGCCGGTTTTTCAAAGCTGGGTTTTGCAGCTTCTTGTTTTTGGTTTTTTTTCACCCAAAACTGTGAAAAAAAACTGAAGCTGAATGTTTACCAAACACAAAAAAGCTCCCAGCTTTTTTCATACTAGCTTTTTTTTTTAATCACCTCAATTCCAAACTGCACCGGAATCACCTGTAAATAGAGGTGTCGTTCGCATTGTTATAGGGTTCAATCCTAGGAACTTAAAAGAAACGGTCTAATTACAACGATGACTTTCAAGTAGTCAGACTGCAAACCAAACGAACATGGATAAAGATCCTCCCACAGAACAGTGTGGTTGATATGAATACTTTCATTCGACACGAAGAAGCTACATTTTCCCAACATACATTCGCAGTCCCAAAAGAAGGGGGAGAGACTGAATTCATGGCCCTCCCCTCAACTACAACAATTTCATCATAAACTCACCTCCTCACCTTGCTCGCGAGCAATGGAAGCCGAGAGAATCCCAAGGTCGCGATTTAGGAATGTCAAAGCAGAT